CACCGGATATGATTGAATGATTTTTCAATGATCTTAGCAAATACTCAACGCGAATGAATCGTTCGCATCCGTATGCAGCACACAATTATAGTGTGGTTCACTGCGGACGGCTGGGCGTGTCAGGCGGGATATTTTTAGCGCGGTGCCAAACCCGTTCTCCACCAGTTGTTGAAGCGAGCAAATGATATGACTGTATCATATCGTTCGTATTACTCGTTTTCTACCACTTTTTGTCGCATGCGCGCTTCAACAAGAAGGCAGAGAACGGGTTGACTAAGTGACACACTCATGCTGCCTGACACGCTAAACCGTCTGCAGCGAACTAGAGTGGATTTATCCTCATTCGTATGTATAACGTCCACCTTTTGAGCAGATGTTCACTTCAACTCATATGCACTGCTTAAGTCACCTCAATTTTTCAACTCAAGACGAAGAGGCAGTCCCTATGTTGTGAAAAGTTTCATGGGCTTGACTGTCTTGAAAACGTCTTGCTTCCCTGTTTAGATTAGGTCATCAGAAGAGGCTACTCTTCACCCCAAAGAGGAGTCTATCCTACGTACGCAGGACGGGAACGCTACACACACATTACAATGCGTGCTACGTAGCCATTTTAACCGCAGGTGATGTTATTCTCTCACTAGTAGTACATTCAAGGAATAGAAGGTAGATCGCCGTAAGCATAAGGCCTGAAGTTCCCTATCAAATAGTACAGCTGGGGGACTGTCAGTCTCATACACCCTCAATGTGTTTGAACGTACCATGTGTCATTAAGCCCTCTGCCTTTGGGGCAGAGGTTCAAGTTGGAAAGAAGCTTTTCACTAAAGCGTCTCCCAATATTTTCTCAGAACCGCATTCCACATGGTGTGGCGGCAATGGTTGGATTGCTGAACGGGCTTCATTTTTACTAAATAGCTCTACGAATCCAATAAAGGAATTAGAAAACAAGTTCTGGAAACTGATTCTTTACAGCTTCATTTGTAGTGCATACCTCCCGCTGGTAGAACCCATGTACCTATACAATTTATTTTCCTTGCAAAGCAATAGTGTACGAAAATATGAGAAATTACCTAGGAAAAGCACTTTATTGGGAGCTATGCAAAGCGGACACTGGCCCCTCTGATAGTTGTGATTACACCACTTGCGCGCTACTGCGCGCTACCGTATCCCACGCCTAAAAATAAATATTTTCCAAGGCTCTAATCGACAGGGAAGCACGTCGCACGCAGACTCAGCACAGAGGTGCTGTTTCGCAGTAGAGCGGGAGCCAATTGAACAGAGGTGCTGTTTCGCAGTAGAGTGGGAGCAAATGAGTTTTGCCCAGGCACTCACAGCTGCTCTCGAGACCCTTCCATTCCGACGAATTCATCATGACCCTGGAAGAGGACACGTGGGGAGTAGCGTTTAATTCGCAGCAGCAGATCCCATGAGCAGAAAACAAGCTAGCTATATATGTTTGCAAGCTTTTAAGCTTTCCCTCACTCTTTCGATGTGTGCTTGTATGTTCAGTAGCTCTTTCCCGTTCCTACTTGACTTCATGTAATCATTCTTCCTTCGTCTGAAGACAAGTGACATCATAAATCCCCTAGATGTGCAAGAGTGACAGCCTAGTAGGATAGAGTTGTGCTCCGGGTTTCGCCTTTTCGACAGAGGGTACACTACCCACCTAAAAGCGATCGGATTGATATGAACCAGCTCCAGTGCTGCATAGATCTACCAAAACGATTCTCGACGATTCCAAAAGCAGGACTTGTCCAAAATTGCTTTGTGAGACGTGTAGAACGAAGATGTTTCACTTCACTTTTTTTGCTGCGTATTTCCCTGTTGTTTAACTTTTTTGCTACCGCTTGACTACCAATATACAAGGGTGACCAAAAAGTTCTGGCAATTTTTCGAAATACTTTGATATCGTAAAGTGCCATTTAATTAACTTAAACAGCGAACCTAAACTTTCGGAAATCTTCATTAGACCAGTAGCGATGGACGGTGTTAGATAAATCAAAACATGTTTCAGATTGCCTTCTTTGCTTCCCGGTGAAGCGTCGCACGATGCTCGTGGTCGGTGCTGGTCGCTTGAAAAAATGTGCTCGTCACCGAAGAAAAATTTCCACGATCGAGCCTGTACACAGAAACCAGAATTGTCTGTACTACTCAAGAAGGGTCAGCAGAAGGCAACGGCAGCGATTCCTTTCGGCCATAGGCACTTTCCACCCAGTCAGTGTCTGGGCTGGCAATTCTGTGATCACCAGGAAAGCCTCCAGTTAGTCTCAATACGATGTAACCTTAAAAATTCAAGCTACTAACTATCAAACAGTGCGTTCTCGCGCTGTACTGCAGCGTGAAGTGTTCGCAGCACCTATGTGGTTCAATGGATTTGTGTTAGCAAGAACTGACTCCCTACAGTCTGCTAATACCACTGCGAATGAGCTGCTGTCCGGGATTTGGGGCGGAGGAACATTTGTTCTCTTCCAAGTCGCCTGATCTGAATTGATGGATTACTTCGTTGGTCTATCTTGGAGCAAAAATCTCAGGAATCCATCGTGACGGTGGACTTCATGTATGAAAGCACATTACTGCATCTTGGTGACGAAATTACAGTACGAAGATGGCGAACCATTGTTTTTGGCACTCGTCGAGTGCCGGATGAGCAAATGTAATTGAGGCTCAAAGGATGCGATTTTGGATTCTATGATGTGATTTCTTCTGTAGGCAAAGCCGTATATTGCTACAACTGTTCGTGACGATTTCAAAAGTTTTTTCTATCTAAATTGCAAAGTATTTCGAAAATTGCAGACACTTTTGGTCACACACCTGTATTCTGCCTTGTGTTATTATTCAAGCGACTCTTTAATTTCAAGTGAAGAAACCTTTATTTATCCTGGGAGTTAGCGGTAAGGAACAATGACAATATCAAACTTACGGCAGAAAATTCATGAGGGAGCGAGAGCCATACATATATCAAAGAATGGTTTTCATTAGACATTCTTGTTTGTAACAGAGAAGCATTTTGGTTTAAAATTCAACGTCTTCGTTAACCGTCGACCTTGGCTTACCAACGGAACAGACGATTTGATACACATCTTAAAAAAAGAAAATAAAAAAAAGATAAATAAAAACACATAACAAATATTAATCTTGAACGTTAACTTTGCCTCAACACATCATTGGGGCGGAGCAGCACTTGACAGCAGATGGGAAAAAACCCGCTGTCGACGACATGACCAAAAGAACTGAAAAGGAAAAATGAATTAAGAGTCAATATTTATTTCATATTCCGCAACTAACGTTGTTAATCTTTATCTGCAATCGCCAACAACAATAATAAAAGAAAACAAGTAAATCCATAGTTTATCAAAATCCTACAAGTGGAAAGATTAAGGAAGAGCCAAGCTTTCGAAACGGGTCACCTTCTTGCTTCTTCTACAGGGGTGGGCGCGGATGTTGAGTTTTCTGTGTGTGCCACTACATGGCCAAGAGTACGTCGTGCACCTGAACGGAACTATATAAACTAGTCCGGGCAATAGAAGTGACTAGGGGAAGCAGGGAGACCACTTACCTGCACGTGGCGGAACAGACACTTCGTTACATGCATCTGAAAGAACACATTCAGATAAGTGCCTGTGGACAAGGTAGTGCTTGAAGGACAGTCAAGGCCTACCTGCACGTGGCGGAACAGATGTTCGAGCCCCGCGCGTAGCGGAAGCCTCTGTCCAGGAGAGCTGTTCTTCATCATCAAATTGAGGTGTCGGGTCTTCCCAAGATATCTGCAATAAAAGGATGAAGATGGCGAATCATTCCTTGAGTGAATCTATTACTTTAGTGTTCTCTCTAACATGAATGAAGATAACCCTTTATTTGTTCACTGTCGATGAAACAGCAACAAGCACGGAAATGCAACAACAGACTTGGCAGGTTATCGAAAACATCTCAGCTCGACACCCAACATAGATCAAGAATCGAATTGCATATAAAGAACAGAAACATTGAATCAGAGTCGACATCTTAGAAGCATCGACATTTGATATGCCTGAAAAGAAACTAGACTAGGAAACAATTTACCCTCAACGTTGTGACTTACCTATATGTTTTTCAATGG